AGCAGCTTTGCGGGCCCTCTCCTTGTCTGCAAAGCGGTCCTCTAGGTCCTGCAGAAGTTTGTCCACCCCCAGCCCAAAAGCCCAGGCCTCCATAGACTGCTGCTGACTGCTGGAAGCTGAAGTGGCCCACTTCAGGGCGGGTCCCTCCAACAGTCCCAGAATCGTGGCCGCCTTGGTCTGTTCTGCACAGACAAAGCCCCTCAAGTAGGCTTTGGTCCCAGCAGCCCAGTCTCCAACATCGGTCTTTGGGTCATCCCCTCTTAATTTGTTGGGAGTGGGGATCTTGGGACCTCTGTGATCTCCTTCAGCAACAGGCGCATAGGATGGTCGGGCTGTAGCTTTTTGGGAAGGAGGTGGTGAAGGGGAAGAATGACGTGAACCAAAGGGTGTTGAAGGAGGAGAAGGAGAAGGTTTGAGTTTCAATGAGGAGGCAGGAGACTGGGGAGCAATCAGTTTGGCGGCTTACAGCTGAGTAGTCAGATCATGAATTGCTTTTAGTATCTTGGACTGCTGAGCTGCCAGGTCATCCACCCTGCGCTCCAGATGGCCGATGCGATTGTCCCAGTTAGTGAAATAAGAACTGGTGGCCTTGTGCTCCGGAAGAGCCCACTCCGCCATGTTCTTATTCACCTGGGAGCAGCGGTCATCTGCCAGGACCTTGTTTAGCTGCTCCAGCAGGTACTCCCTTCTGGAAGTATTTGTTGCAGCCTCTAGCTCAGTTGCTTCCTGCCGCTCAAGTTCTGCTAGCAGGGCCTGCTCCTGCTGCAGTCTTTCTTGCAACTCCTTCTGCTGAGTAGCAGTCAGAGGAGTAGTAGGGGTGGAGGTAGAAGACTGTGGTCCTTCCACCATCACCACTTCCACCTGTGGCTGCTGCTGAGCACCCTGATCCGCCATTTTCCACTTTCCGAACAACAATAAATGATGGACAAGCAGAGTATGCAGCAATTTTCAATTTCCTGCAGACACAAAGGCCACTAGAAAACAAGAGTAGTCAGTCAGAAACCCTAAATCCTAACTCAGACTCCAATTTTGGCCTTGATGACTCTGGCGGCCATACCCTAGGGTATGGCGAACTACAGTATTCACTGTTTCCAGTGAATTACTGCAAATCCAATCAAGCACTTCTGCAGTATTGTATTGCCTAATTTTGGATTGCGATTGACTGACAACTGTCAGAATTGAATTTTGACGGACATAATTGAAGTTATGACTGACCCTAGGTAGCACAGGCTATAACTAGACTCTGCGCAAAACTGTAATTCGCAGTATCACTACTTTTCTAGTGCAGAATTCACAGTCTGAGCATCCCAAATCAAGCGCAATACAGTAAGGCAGTCACAGAACAATTTTGGATGCAAAAGAGTCAACAGAGGGTTAGAAATGAGAAGAGAAAGGTAGGGGAGAGATGGCTATGGCTGTCATGCAGTCTGCGATTTTCACATCCGGTCACTGACAGACAGATAGACCATAATTACTGACTAATCTAATCCTATCTGAATCGCTATACAGGTAGGTGCATGGAACGGACTCACTTTCAGAGTTTCTTGCAGAGTTGGGTGAAGATCTGGCTATGGCAGACCGAAACCCTCATCTCGTCAGTTTCTTCCAAAGCTTCCTCCTCTTTGTCCCACGCGCAGAACCCTTTCGCACAGAACCCTTTCAAACTTGTTGGTCCTCTTCAGGATCTTGAGGCGCTGCAACCCTTGCTGTCAGATTCCCTGAATCTGCCCCTGTGGCACTCCGAAGCCAACAGAAAATTATCTTGCCACAGGTCCCCTCAGCCACTGATGCTATAAATAGCCCCTGAAGGGGTTATTTCCACCTGAGATTGACATAGACTGTCAATCACCCTCAGTGCTGCTCAGGGATGAAGCCGCTCAGTGATCCCTGAAGTCCTCAGGGGTAATTCGCCACTCTGAGGCAATTCGCTATCCTGCCCTCAGGGTTGGCTATGGCGAATTAGCCCTGTTCTCGCCACTTCCTGACAAGCGTCCTGACAGGCTCAGTGCGCTTGCTCAGTACAAGCACTGAACTCCTGAATTCACCGCTTGAAATCTTCTTCCCTGCTGTCTCGGTACTGGGGAATATGAATCGCCATGAAACTTCTCGCCAGTAGTTCGCTAATTGAAGAAGATGCCTCTTTGCACTCAACCCTCAGTGTTCCAATTCCAATCCCGCTCCGATACCAATTGTTATGAACTTGGTTGTCTGACGATTTTTACCGCCACTCACACACAGACAATATCATACACGCCCATACATGCATAAGAGAAGGGGGAGAGGAGACAGAGTCCAACTGTACACAGATCAGAGTATGTAGCGGAAGTTCAGCCATGCACAGATGGGGAGAAGACACTGCGTGATTCTCACTCTCTGACAAACTCCCAACAACCAATCACAAGAAGAACCTGCGAGGATAACAATTGGAAGTCACATTGATGAAGAGCCAATTAAACCAGATATCGCTACAGAGTTTGTTCAAGAGCCCCGATATAGCCTGGCCAGACGCAGATACCCCCAAGGGTAGATGCGCTGAGGGTGCCCCAGCTCCGGCAACCTTCAGAGGGGCCAGCTATGACCGCCGTCCTAGGCAAGGGTCTCAGGATGCCGTTTGTAGACAATTACCACTGCCAACTTGCTTGGCTTCTCCAAACGCTGCTTTGTGAGAATGAACAGCCAAAAGTCCCCAACAGTCCTACCGGAACCTACTTGTAGATCCTACACTATCCTAGCCTAGGGCTTACCGGTACCGTTTCAGTTAGGCCCTCTCGGCCTCTACGAGACCGGTCCTACTGCTGCACTTAGGGCTCAGGGCCACTTAGGGCCGGTAACCACTCAGCCCCTACTGCTGTTAGTCCAAGCTATTTTTAGAACAGCGGGCGGCCCTCAGTGCAACCCAAAAAACACAGCAAAGCACACAGCACACACACAGCGGTACACTGTACAACCTCGCAGTCAGTCTCGGCAGTTGAAATCAGCAAGTCATTGCACTTGCACCACTCAATTTTGCAGCTACCCAATTGCCATTCGTTTCGAAACATCCACATGGAAAGAATGTCAACTTCAATTATGATTTCTCTGTGTATGGACTGAAAATTCATTGCTGTGGTCATTGTTTAGAACATATAGCAATATGACAACACACACACACACACAACATGGGCTGTTTGGATGTTTACGGGTGGCCGCAAGTTCTCTTTGGGGGGAATGAATGTTTTGTGGGCCGGCGTGTAAGGCTTTCCCAGTTTTTTCGGACCCTTAGCGGGGGGGGTTGGTGCGTGCTTGCTGGAGGAGTCTTCTGTCTTAGGTAAGTTGTCTCGTATCGTCTTCCTCCTCTTTGGCAGTGACGCGAGTGTGTAGTTTGAGATGAATGCCAATGCTGTTATATTTGTTTGTTTTTTATAAACGATTTTTGGGTTTGTGGGTCGATGCGGAAGGCTCTCCAAGTTTTTTTGGGACCTTTGAGGGGGCCGGGTCGGTGCCTTCTTGCTGGAGTAGTCTCTGTCTTAGGTAAGTTGCCTTCTTCCCTCCATCCCCATATGTATATGTGTGCCGCTTTGGCGGCAGGGGTGTGTGGGCACTTGGCACTGAACCACACAAACGTGCCCAACCTTGCATTTTCTATTTTATTGCCTATCTATGCTTTTTCGTTATGGATGGCTTGTGATGATTTGTGAAAGTAATGAGAGAGAGAATCTGGGGTCTTTTGAAACAACACACACACATGAGAAATGGTCTGGCACACAGTCATGCTTTTTTGTGGAGTTGTATATAGCAAACATGACGACACCTGCACAAACACAAAGGAACACTAGAAAACACACACTACAGTCTTGCTAGCTCTCTGCCGTGGTAGATTGAGTGGCTAGGATTGGGCTTGTGCTGGCAACGAACTCTTGTGTGGTTTCAGAATTGGCCATGATGATTTGCTTGTTGACTTACAGTCTCTTTGAGGGCTGCTCTTATTGTTCATTTTGGCCCAGATTGGTACTTGGGTGATCCTTGCTGTGGTGGATATGCTCTTCTTGACCTGGATGGATACTAAGGTGATCTTGTCTGTGGTGGACAAGAGGCACAGACAGTGTTTGATGTGGGTGTGATTCCTCGGGGCTGTTGTTTTGGAGTACATGGAGCAGGGCATGGGCCAGAGTTTGGGTGCCTTATACCACCACTACCTCCGAGGCTATTTTAACAAACCAACACTTCCTTTCCAAGCCTGGCCCAACCAACGGTATGTGAGCCTAGACTACCAGTATCAACAGGGAGATAAACATACGTGTCTTCATACGTGTCTTCAACGCTGATCTTGTTTATGCCATGTAGAAATGATTATTTCAGCTTTTGGATATTTCTTTTGAAAAGATCACTCAATCTACGTCCCTGATTGTTTTCAGATTTTTTCATCAATTATGTTGCTTACAAAAAATTCCGGAAGTTGCCCACCCCACAGCTGGCCCCGGACACCTGATTGCACATTTTTGAGATGTCGTGGGGACTCGGGGTATTCGGCATGAGTTGTTGAGTGTTCACGAGGTGGGTCACAGGATCTTGCCATGCTTTTGGACCACAGAGAGAGAGAGAGAGAGAGAGAGAGAGAGAGAGAGAGAGAGAGAGAGAGAGAGAGAGAGAGAGACGGGGGGGGGGGCGGCAGGGGGGG